CACGGAGCCCACTTGAACGACACACCATTAACGCCAGTGGAAGCGCTTCCACCAATTCAAACCTGTGTGTTGGCAGATTTTAACAATGCGGTTTTTTAACACACCATTCATTTTTTCACAAGCACCTTGGCTTTGCTGATGATTAACAGCTCCTAGACGTTGTTTAATTCCCAATTTTTGCAGAATTAGTCCTACTGTTTTATTCACGAAACTCTTTCCCATTATCTGAGGATATGCAGTCTGGGAGTCCCCACCTGCTTATAACCTCACAACACAAAAACTTGAAAACTTGGCAGCAGACTGAGCATCTTTCCGCTTGGTTGGACAGGCTCAACCCATCTTGAAAATCTATCCACAACAACTAACATATAGGACTTATTGGCGTCCTAACATTGTTTTTTTAGACAAATAGTACACCTGCTTATGACATAATCAATCTGCTCATGCAAATACAGTACCCAAAAACCATACTTTCTCTTAATCTTTCTCCTAACTCCCCCTTGCACCATGGGCTAACCATGTGCTTTCTAATCATCAGACCTAGCAGGTCTAACAATTTCCTTCACTGAGCATTCACTTATCTCTCTACTTCCTGAACCTTCACTATTCTACCTTACAATTCCTTCAACATAAATCTAACTCCTTGACCTTTCCTGTAAACAACAGAAAAGTCCTCTCCAACCTCAACATCCATCTATACTCCTCTGAAATCTCCTCTGTTCTGTAACATCCACAAGCAAAGTGGCTTAGCTGTCCACAATTATGACACACTCCTGAAGACTGTTGGAAATTTCCTCCTCTGCCTCTTTCTAAACTTCCTATCTGTGGTTGGTCAAAAACTGACTGTGGAAAAGGTGCAGTGGGGATCATGGATAACAGCTGAGATAGCTGAAACTAGATCTGGTCATGCTGCGGCTGTGGTGGTAATTGATTTGGTTGATGCTGACTTTGCATAACCACAGCTTGTTTCATCTCCTTCTTATTATCAACCAGCTGTAGTTGGTTAAGTTTTCTAAGAGTCTCCTGGTCCTGTTTCTTCTGGACTGGTAGATTCACTTATGTTCACAAGGCATCTATTTATAGACCTCTCAATCTCTCTTAAAATCCTGCATCCATCATCTTCCACCCCTGCATCGGCTGCTAGCTGGTGAAGATATGTAGGACCTTCTCTCTCTGAGTCTCCATCACTATCACTCTCATCTGTGACGTGATAGTTGCCCTCCTGTCTAATCACTGGGAGCTGAGGATAAACATCAGTAAACTTCACTTCCTTCTCATAAGGCGGGCGCTTCTTTACTAAGGCAGTATGTGAGAAGGGTGTGTTAACCTTCTCCATTAACTTTCCTGCTTCCTTATCATTTTTCTTTATTGCTTGCATACTTCTGTTCCTTTTTTCTCTTGCAGCTTCTAACAATTTCTGTCCCTCATTTTCAAACAACTGCAGAATGCCAAGTTCAGTTTGTCTTTTCTCCATACGTCTATTTCCCCTTTTTGCCTTTCATCTGATTTACCTTATATGTAGACACAAGCACCTGTATTGTTTTAATCACATCCGGGTTCAAAGTCCCCTCTACTGGCCAAGGCTGGTCAATGTCAGGCCAACGCTTACTCCATTTTTCTTGATATTTTTGGAATATCTTTAACAAGAGGATTAGTCTTCTGTACTACATCAACAGAAGTGATTGATTTTGTAATTTTGGTGTCCATCTTTGACATTACAATGACCCTCTTAGTTCCTCGTATTGTAAGTCAAACTATTTAGTCAAACTATTTAGAAAGTACTGTTACCACACTTGAAAGTGAATGAATTTGCCAACCCCAAAGGAGACCTAAGCCTTCTTACTATGAAAGCAAAAGCACTTGTTTATCACCTAGTGCATCTAATCACACTTATTTATCTTAAAATTATGGAAATAATGTCAATGTTCCATCTCAAAATAGCCCAGGTCAAGCTAGACCATACTCAGACAATGAAACCAGCATTCACAGCACTCAACTGCATTTGAATCAAATCAACTTTTCCATAAATGATCAATCAAATCAAAAATACTCCATTATTGACCAAATGCTTCAATTAGTCAGTCTGTTGCCAAGACTTCCTCCTATATAATTGTAATGTGATACATAGAAGAAACAATGTAAGCCTCTATGCGAAAACAGACTAAACATGTATCAAAGATGTTGACTATAAAAAATGTATACACAGATAAAAAAGTTCAGGTGTTTGTTGAAAGAGTTTGTGGATAAAACCGCACTGGCCTTGATCAAGCTGGATTCAGGATCCCTACATGCTGTCATCCGCAAGCTTCCAGTGTTTGTGAAGTACTGCCAGATCTCTCCTCATCTGCCTTTTTGACTGATCCAGTTCAGACACAATCCATCTCCTCCAGTTCTCACACAACATAGTAAAAACAGAGAAGACAAAAAGAAACAAAACAAAAGTTGAGTGTCTAAGGGTCACTCTGAATTCATATACACAATGCAATAACAATTCAGTGAAATATGCACACATTATCTCTAATCTCTATCTATTTTTTTTTTAATCTATTGCAAAGGCTGTCTCCCTACTGGGGGTGTGTTTTCCTTCCCTCTGTGTCCCACAGAGAGAAGAGAGAGGAGGAAGGGCTCTCTCTCCACTCCTCTTCAAAAGGAGTAATCTAATTGGCTTTCTATGTGAGGCAACGCCTCTTGGACCCACCTCCTAATTTCTCAAGAGCTTCCAGTCTAGCCTGGCTGTCAAAGGGTTAACATTGTCTCCAAACCCCATGGTCCAAACCTAGTGCATTTAATGCACAGACAGGCACATCTCACCCGTGGGTGCTGTGACACCCCTACTTTCACTAAAATGTACACTTTTTACTAGTGGAGTCATTAAAAGAAAACTTATCACTCAAGTAAGATTTATTAAGTGACAACTAAGCCAATCATAGCTATTTGATTACAGTTGAAGCACAGTAAGGTTACATTTGCATTTAATCCTCCTGTCACTCATCACTGAGTCAGAGCTCAGAGCTCACACATGGAAACATGCTGCATGTAGCATCCTTCTGAAAGAGAGTAAGTCACCCAAACAGAGGTTTTTAAGATAAATCCACCTCACAAAACAGCATAAGTGTAACATTTTCTCCTCTTGGTTGTTATTTTAGCTGTATGTATTTACTCCCATAACTTTACAATGTAGCAGAAGTCCCCTTTGCAGTTTTTCTAAATAAAAGCACATTTTATGTGAAGACCGGAAATAAAGAGACTAAGGCGTAAGGCAATAAGAAAAGCAAAATAACGGCATCACAAAGAATCGTTTTGAATCTGGTTTCTAGACATCTTCACCTATTTTAAACCAAACTATATGTTCTTTTGAACAGACAAAATCCACAGCATAATGTGGTCACACACATACGCTCCAACAGACAGAAAGAGAAGTTCACACTCCAATCAGCCAGCAGTTCTAAACTTTATCAGGAATTTTTCTGTTCTTTTCTCTAATCTTGCTACCTGAATGGGTACAGACTATCCTCGCTGGTCTCTCCACTTCTGTTAAAAACAGATACTATATACACTTATGCTATGTATAAACGTCCTTTATTAGGCTCATGTGTATTTATCAGATTAAACAAACATCCTCTGAGGGGCTCATAGATTTTTATCACTGATGAAGATCAGATAAGTAAAAGTCCTCTGAAACAAAGGCTCATATTTTTTAACACTGATGAAGCAAAAATGTCCCCTCTTATAAGTTACTAAATCGCCTTTTAACCAATCACCTGCTATATATGCCTATTTATAATACATCTATTCTATTTATCAATCACACATATACAAGAACATTTCCGGATCAAATACACATCTTCACACCACACAGACCTCTCAAAACCATCCAAATCACAACACAAGAGACAAGACACAGACAGAGACAGAGCCCTTCAACAGCCACACACACTTCAGTTCAGATTTTGAAGTCGACTCATTTATAATTTTCCTCTATCAAATTTTTACTTTGGCCAAACTTTTAACAAATTGTCTTTTAACAAATTACTTCACACTGCATGCTTCAATGCACACTTTTTCCTTTACTTAGCGCTTTTTCCCACTTTTCTCAAAACTCTTATCTTTATTCCTTATCTTCACTTTTCATCTTTTTACTTCTCATCTTTACACTTCTCATCTTTATTTCTTCTCTTTTATTTCCTACATTATACGTTTATCATCTATTCAAATACCCTGGCCAGGGATCCCCTTTGTTTTATTTTTACTCAAATTTGACTACTTCTTAAAGCCAACTTTCACTTCAGTGTCTAATTTACACATGACTTACTGTTAAGAGGATACGGGCCCTGTCCTTGTTAAACTTGCATAGTTTTTTAGCTAACTGGTCTCGTTACTAGTTGCGCTTATGCTATCATTACCTTTCAACTTTATTCATCTCTTCTTCTCTTATTTATCTCTTCTTTATTTTATTCCCCTTTATCTATATACTTTTTAACTCAATAAACCCCAATTTAGACAGAGAATTACTCCAACATCAACACATCATTGCACTTCAGTTCTTTGACAGTGCGGCCAAAATTGCCGATAGACGACAGAAACAGCTCCGCAATATATGCAGAAAAAAAAGAAAGAAACACTTACGAAGTGATGGAAATAATAAACAAGCTGTGGTCCCCTGCAGAAGGCCCCAACTGATCCTGTTCCGTGACGCCAAAATTGATGTGGATTTCCTTGTTGTTGACATGTTTGATGATGAAGAAATTCTCCGTTGACACTGACTTGCTTACATAATGATCATTTTATTGACAAACAAGTTACAGCATCGCCAGGCTCGCCATGGTTCGACCTGGGAGAGACACAGCCAAAAGTGATCTCTCCCCTTACACACAGAAACTCTGGTATTTATGGACACACCTCACAGGAGAACAACATAGGGACATCTGTTTGTTTTCAGGACACCCCTCTTCATACAACTGCAGGGGTTTCTGTCTTAATCATATGTATGTCATATGTATGTCATAAACTCAAAGGACAACACAGGTCACAGATACAATCTCTTGTCCAGAAGTCCCTGGGCAACTCTCTGGATACAGGGGCCCCATTGTACACATTCCACTGAGAGGGCTCCTAAATCTCCTTCAGATACTCCTGATGCGCCCATTGTAAACTTATATTACCTCTGTCCTGGTTACATCAGACACTTCAGTACCTTGCAGAAGCAAATTGTTAGGGAAAACAGAGACACAAAAGCATACAGGAAACTTAAGTAGCATATTGGTTTGCATTGTGGGCTCTGCTGGAGACCCAAGACTTTCCTTGGTCCACATGAAACTGTATCTTCTGTTTGTAGTAGCTCAACACAGCACTACATGTAACAGCACCACCACTCCTTTGAAACTCATCAGGACTCCTCAGCAATCAGCTTCTGGAAAAGGAAAACAAAATTGTCCAACAGATAAAGAAGAACATCAAGAGCTTAATAATGTGATGCATGGGGAGAGAATACTTAACCTGCTGTCTCAAGGCCTGCATGGATGTGTACTCAGTGTGCTCTCTCTTTTTTTTGATCCAGTCTGGTTCATCAGGGATCAGAACTGCCAAAACCAACTTAACCAAGATCAGCACATGCTGCAAACAATGATGTTGAAATATCAGAGAAGCACACAGAAATTGTATTATTTTAAAATTGATTTAATTAAAGACTACTTTGAATTCCTTCTTACCTCAACCAAGACAGCTAACAGTATAGTTTTTGTGCTGCTAATTCCACCCTCCAGAAACAGCTTTTGTAACTGTGGTGACAGCAGCAGTAGCCAGCAGTTTGACATGACAGAGACAAAACTCAGGACCTCAAAAGCAGTCTTGAACACAAGAGAATGACATGAACAATTCACTCTTGATTGGCAGTACTGACAGTATATAATTTGAATTGTACATGATGTTTTCTGCTGACCTGCCACACGCCCAAGTTAGTCACAGGTTGGGAGAAGGGTTTTCGAAAGAGTTTGCAGATTTTGTAGGCATCAGCTCGGATCTCTGTCAAGTTGTTGATGAGCAATAGCACTGCTGTCAGAGGATACACGCAGGAGAAAAAACTCAAATACCCAAACTGCACCAGGAGCTCGATGTACTCTGCAAACAGGCCCTTAGTAAAAAAAAAAAAAAAGAATGTGTCAAACAATGCAAGTTTTTCACCCGACCCTCTCTAAATACTGTATACTGTATACTCACAGGAAAAACAGGCATGGTGCCTTGCTTCCTAAATTTATCTTCCTGTGGTTCGTCTTCACTGTCTGTCCTGTGAGTGACACTGATGAACTTATCCACCAGTAAAGGTATGACCACCTCTGTCACCTGGTTCACCAGCTGGCTCACTATCAGCAAAGATCCTAGACGCTTTAGACAGAAAAAGAATAATATGTGAATATATTGCCTTTCACAAGGCCTTTCCATTCATTGACTTTAAAAAATACACTTTACACTCATTACAAAGTGGACGCCAATAGCATCATGGGCCTAGTTTGTCCAAAAAGATTAATGTGGATCAGAATAGTTATCTTATGTAAGGGAAATCCAGATCAATGCCAGAAGATACGTCTGGAATCCTATTCTAACACTTCGAAGTTGTCATCCCTTGGTGAAAAATGGGCATAGAAATGCATACACTTATAACGGATAGAGATATCGTGAGAGTAAGCATGTTGGTGTTGCAATGTCTGACCAGCACATCATGGGGTGGTTGGTAGACATTGTCCAATATGACACACAGATTAAACAGCATCCTCCTCACTGACACCAGCTCCATCCCACAACATCACAGGCCTTGTGGATCAGTTTGTTGAGTCTGTTGTAGTCATCTACCCTCAGCCTGCTGCCCCAGCACACAACAGCAAGCACTGGCTAACTCAGACTCATAGAACATCCTAAGCATTGAGCCTGCAGATGTTAAAGGACATAAGCCTCCTCAGGAAGCAGAGGTACAGGTCCTTCTTGTAGATGGCCTCAGTGTTCTTTGACCCGTCCAGTTTATTGTCCAAGTACACTCACAAGCTGATCACTCTGTCTGACACAGTGTTTAGGTGCACATACTGTGGCCTGCCAGCCAGGTAGTCAGCAAACCAGAATCAGAGATGAGAATCCACCTGCATCACTGTCAGCCTACACCCATTAGAAGTCGGCCTGATGGCGTAGAAAGCACTGGAGTATTAAACAAAAAAGACCCTCACAGTGCTGTTTGGCTTGTCAAAGTGACTCGGTTCAGTAGGAAGATGATGGCCTCCTTACAGTAACTCCTGTTGGGTTAGTAGGTGAACTGAAGGGGAGCTAAGAGGGGCCTAACCATCGGTCAGGGTAAATCTATAGAGTCTTCATGGGATGTCAATTCCACTGGTCTGTAGTTCTTGAGGCCACTAGGGCTAACCCTGTTTTCTCCATGATGAAATAATGTTTGTGCCCCACCAAGTAAAGTCACAACATGATAATGTTTTTAATATTATTAGCTATAATGATAAATTCAGACAGGTGCTGATTATGATTTGACTTTTCAGATAATACCCAGAAGCAACAATTGTTAATTATTAATTATCATGAATCATTACTATTAATTACAAGTAAATACAGCCAGCAATTCACAATAAAACTGAGTTTGAAGCCTGAATATCAGTGATGACTTGAGAAATTATTTAAAATAATGTATTTTAGATAGGCCCTCAAAAAAGAGAGAACAATCAGAGGTCATATCCCTGAAGTTTGGCAGGGTTTGTCAACAGGTCCTAAGGGATTAGACCTCTGTTTTTTCTCTTGTTGAGGGCATTTCAAAGATAAAAGTTATTTTTCAATTATTTCTCAAGTAATTCCTGGTAGTCACTAGTCAGGCTTGTAACTCAATGGGCTTGGATCAGTGATATCACACTGACAAGACGTCACACTGGCAAAATTTTTTCGAGGGGGGCTAGAACCGAGTGTTACATGCAGCTAATGCTGCAGCTAACAGGGGGACGTAGGAGAAGCCACGTTTACGCGGACTTTGAATTTTTGCACAGGATACATGGAAAACATACTAAAGAGCATATAAAACCAGAAAAAGCATAATATGGGCCCTTTAAGGCACTGTGTTTTGGATCATTAGGATGATCTATCAGGTAAAATGATTAACTCAGATAGACGATAATGAGAAGTTAAATAGGTTAAAATAAGTGTACATTGTCAGTCGCATTCTGAGTATCTGTTTTAATGTACAGTAGCGGGAGGCTTGGCAACTTCAATTCTAATGCACAGCCAGGGTTTTCATTCTGGTTCATTTTATTCTTGATCGGCGCCTTGTATTAGCTGTGTACAAATCACTAAACCTGGAATAAAAATTGTATGAATAAGTAGGCTAATAAACAAAATTCGTGAATAAATATAAATTAAATTAACAACCTTGTATAATGGGATACTGTTGCTTGAAAATCAATGCACTTTAATATCGGGTAAATTTACTGCTGGCTTTTGCAGAGCTGCTTCAGGACTCTAGCTGAACAGTTAGGAATGTAATTATTCATACATTGATCTCAGACCAAGAACAGGTACTATATAAAACCTATTCACATGTACTTTTACAGACAGAAAACATACAGCGCACGGAGGAGCTGGGACGATGAGGAGAAAAAAAGATTCTATAATCATGATTAAACCCTCATGTCCGAAAATACAAATTTACATGTAGCATTACTTTTAGGAGGGTGTTGATACAGTAGACTATTTCTCACAGAGAGAGAGAGGCCTAGGCATGTTAGACTGACGCATACAGTATTAAGCGCAGCTGTTTTCAGATACAGTATTACGCGCAGCTGTTTTCAGATACAGTAATCACTTTAGCTTCCATAATCACTGCTCCTCCTGGTGGTTAGATTAACGGTTGCAACTTTTTTCCACAAGAGACTCTTAGGGGCGTTATTTGACTATGTCATCAACTACGTCACCGTGGGGGATCTCATTAGAGTCACGGATCCTGCACGGTCCAAGGACCCAGCACGGTACGGTCGAGGTCCCACCACGGAAATGGTGGGCGTTATTTTTGGCTCCATCTGTAAGCCATAACATAAGTCATTAAGGAGTTAAACAATAAATGCATATATTATTCATAGCAGCTAATTAATTACTCACTATGTTAATCATGTAGTGGCTGATTAATGTATGGCTTACTTCTTTTTAAATCATACATTAACTTGTGATTTTGGGCAATAATTTAGCAGTGATACATGCAAATGAGTAGAACAGGATTGTTAAGTGTTCCTACACAAGCGCATATTTTTGGTGAACGTTGAATTGAACGTGTCAGTTTAGTACATCTGTAGAATACATCCCAGGCCTAAAAAAAAAATAAAGCCGAAAAAAAGGTTATTTAAAACTACAGTTGAGAAAACATGTCTTCGTCCTTCTTGTATAGAAGTGATCCTTATGAGACAAATAAAAGCCAATAATTTTTTATCGTATACAGTAAACTGACAACGAACTGCAGTCAGGTCAAAACACCGTAGAAGAAGACGAGCATGCAGATGAGCTTCCTTGAGATGGTTTCAGACATTTTGTGCAGAAATTCTTTGGTTATGCAAACCATTTGTTTCATCAGCTGTCAAGGTGGTTGTCTTAGACTATTTTACAGGTGAAAATGCAGGTCTGGATGTCCAGGGCTGGCGTGGTTACAAGTGGTCTGCCTAATTCTCTGAAACTACTTTGGAGAAGGCTTATGGTAGAGAAATGAACATTCAATTCACAGGCAACAGTTATTCAGGACATTACTGCCTGACCTGTCTTGAATCAGCCTTGATTAGATAAGGCTGGATTGTTTTAGTGGAATGACTTGAGGCTTAATTGGGAGATGGCGCTAGTTTCAGCCTGTATTTTTTAGCTGAGCTTGGCTTTCTTTAGCCACCTTGATGGGATACCCCCCAGATCACATGTGGACAGACTTAAGCAAAGGTATACCCAATTGGTCTTGAGGACAGATTGAGATCCGATAACAGAATGTATACGTGGTCTGGGAAGCATTTGTCAATATTGATTTGGACAGTGCTGTTTTCAACTCTGTTATCAGGCTTATTAATCAAATAAAGTTTTGTTGCAGTCTATAATGGTTTCTCTGTACAACTTGTGCCCATAAGAACATCTCTCTCCCTCTGTGTGCAGCATGTGTGCATCTAACTTGTCAATGGAGATGCATATGGAGAGTACTATCTGGCCAGGTGTAAACCAAAGACTGTAAATAATAGCCTGAGTGATGTCACCCATTCTACAATTCTACAATTCACTTAGCAGACGCTTTTATCTAAAGCGACACACATCAGAGAGAAAGTACAACACAAGCAAGGATCTAGAAAAATGAGACAATGTCAGTAAGTGCAAACGATCAGCTTTGAGTCCGATTGGTAGTTGTTGGTTAACTTAAAAAACAACGACAAAGGTTGGAGTTCAAGCAATGATTATTCTTTCTTCTAAAAGGGATTGCATTAGCTTGACATACTTTGAAGCTCCTTGATAGCACATCAATTCCTTGATAGCACATCAGAATGGGTAAATAGCTATTTCATTTGTAGAATCTCAATGCTCTGGTGCTGTAGCTTATAAATGAATCAGCCATTATGCATAAAATGGGGCAAAGATGGCACCTTTCTATGCAAATGAACCTCAGCCACACACAATTAGGCTTAAATTATTAGCGTCCTCAGAGACTGTTGTATTTTGGCACACAAAATTGGGTTCAAATACACCATAGAGTTGTTGAATTGTATTACTATATCACTTAGTTACCTGTTTGAAGATCAGTCTAAAACTTTAGTGTTAGCTGTTACCTTACAGAGCATTGGTATATCCTGCTTGAAGAATGCAATGTGGAAGAGTACTGCAAAGTAGTTGAAGAAGGTGAACTGGAGGAAGAGAGAAAACAATCTGCTAAAACAGTCTTTAGAGTAGTAGTAATGTAATAATAATAATAATAATAATAATAATAATAATAACAATAAGTAGTAGTAGAAGTAGAAGAAGAAAGAGATAATTAATGAGTAAGGGAACTAACCACCAAGACTTTGGCTGTCAGATGATTCTCAAAGGCAGATTCCTCTCTGTGGTTCTCTGAAGAGGAAAAGATAATTATTAGCTAACCACATGCATAATGAACAAAATGTTTCCTTTATTGATTGGCAAATGCCATCAGCTAACTTTTGCTTCTTTTTTTGAATGTTTCCCTCCGTTCCCTCTCCATCCACCTTCTCTGCATCTTTGCCACAATACTTACTGAATGCTCAATAAGATATAGAGAAAAATAATATTTCTTATGTTTTACATTTTTTTTCCATTCACTCACCATATTCAGTCAGAGACAGTGCCACCTTCTTGTAAATGGTTGCGAGAACATTTGTAAAGACGATGTGAACCACTGAGGGCATGTAGAGAAAAGTTTGAGACAGCAGGGAGTCCCAATCTTTATGTAACTTTTGCATCTTGGCCTCCCCCCAGTAGAAACAAAGCATACCCAGTACCACCAGCACTGTCGAAAAAAGCATGAAGGGAAGGAAACATGAGGCCTTTAGGAATGGGAAGAGATCTTGCAAAAACAAATTAGGGTAGAAGAGCATATGTTTCTGGAACCTATTTCTTTACACTCTTCTGTATCACTAAATGCTTAGTTGACTTACTTATGACTTTGAGGTTACAGCAAATTAATGAAGAACATGGAACCTTTAGTAACATTAACATACACTGGTAATGAGTTTATTCAATTCAAATAAAAAAGTCAAGTTGTACCTAGAAACAGCCCCACCACTGGGATTGACACTAGTGCGATACGTAAGTCCTCCGCCATTCAGGAAAGAGTGGTTCCACACGACTTGTCACAGGGTTGACCCCAAGTACGCCATGGTAACCAGGCCTGGGCTCTGCAAAGTGTTCTGCTAGTTGACTGGTCCCCCAGCGGTAGGAAGAGGAAGAGCTCCGTCGCTTCCACAACTCCATAACCACTGTAGACCAGAGCATGCTGAACACAGCCTGGATCACGTGACTGTAGCCCGCTGGTCCCAAGTAATCTCCACGAAGTTTTACCCCTGAACTCGAGATTGACTCCAACATGTCATTCTGAACGTCCCCTGTGATGGCCAAAGATGGAAATGGTAAGCGCTTTTCTAGTCTTACGACTACTCAAAGCGCATTTACACTGCATGTCACACCTACCCATTTCACACACTGATGGTCGCGGTCGCTATGTAGTATGTAGCTAGTATGTAGTATTAGCTAGTATATTTTTTACAGGACTCATACTGGTTTATTATATGTTTATCTACATGTATAATTTACAAAGTGTGACTGAGCATCCCAAAAACTGAGGCACTGACATGGGGACTCACACTGGGCTGGACCTTGAAAAGCATAATGGTGGTCAAAAAGCTGTTTTTACAAGGAAAATATTCCATTCATACAGAATTATCATCTTGAGTACAAATGATTGTTGCATTACAGTCAGCTGTTGATCTAGTTTTAAAGGTCACATATTACTCAAAATACACTTGGGTATGTTTTTCTTACACTAATATGTGTCCCTAGCCTGTATACAAACCCCCCAATTATTAGAAAAGTCAATCCCCTCTGCCTTTTGCCTGCTCCACTTTTCAGTTAATGTCAGCTCAAACAGGTAATTTGGAGATTTTCCCTTTGTGACATCACAAAGGGAAAATCACCTAGCTGTTTGTTCTGCCCTCTGGGTCTGCCTTCTCACCGTAAACACTAGGGTATGGTCAAAAGAAAGCCCATGCAACATCCCCTTCCAGAGGGGCGTGGTGAAACACAGCTCACTTGCATTCAAAGCTATAGAGACAGAAACAGCCAGTTCTAAGCAGGGCTGATATAAAGGGGTTTATGGGCATGATAAAATAGAAGATCCGAGTGGATTTTTTGCAAAGAAACTTATCTGACATGTTTTAGGGAGTTCTGAGACTTATTTAAAATTGTTGAAAAGGAGTTTAATATGTGACATCTAAAGATACAGGGAGTTGATAAAAATGATTTGATTGCCAGATTTATAGTAGATTATATTTAATCTATTCTAGTCTCATTATTATCTTTTGGTGTATAGCATATCTTTCAGTGAAAATGGGGACGCTGATTTGTATTAGAAATCTTAATATTTCAGTAGCCTTCTTTGTTTTATTTTCTGTTAAGTATGTGCTCTCAACAAATTAAAAAATGCCTTTGAAGTATTAAATCACATAAAGTTTGAAGGGAGTTGTGGTGACAATATATATTTTTATCATTGTGCAATAGAATCATATATATCTATGTTTATATCTATGTATTATGCCTCAAATCGATTTTTAAAAAATCACAAATTCACACACCTACCTGAAAAGTATGTTATCAACAGGCCAAGCATTGCTGGTGGAAGCAGAGACCAGGTGTAGCAATCAAGAAAACTGAAGTACAAAGCCACTGAGCTTCCAAAATACTCATTTATTGAATCTGGTAGAAGCAAGAGACAATCTTTGTTAGTCTGTGCAAGGCTCCATTATCTTTCTAGCACACAAAAAATGCATTCATCTCTTGTCAATTCGACTCCTGAATTGACAAGAGATGAATGTGGAAAACCTGGAAAAACATTTGATTTAGACTTTGAATATACAGTATATATGCATCAGATTCTGTATGTGTGTGTCCATAAAAGCGTGTGTGTGTGTGTGTGTGTGTGTTTGTGTGTGTTTGTGTGTGTGTGTGTGTGTGGGAATACTCAAGGAAAAGAATAAATGTAAATTAGGTTGCCAATCCTAAAATCACTCTGAAGCAGGATTGGTTACATCGATGTGATTGGATCTACTACTGCTGCCTTTAGGCGGTGGGCCGTAAACTTGTATCTGCTTTAGTTCTTAAAAATAACGATCTTCACCAAGGGAGGTTCCAGGTTTCTGAAGTTGTGCAGATTGTTAGCCATTCTGAATTCTTGTTCATTTTTCTAAAAACATGATGGATGCAAAGTTTGTAAAGCAGAAAAAGGCCTCTGCCTACTATCTCGTTTGAACCAATAGCAGGCTACGATTCCGACATGTGTGAGGAATCGATTGCTTCTGTCTGGGTTTCCAAATTGATCCATCCTGCTTTAGAGTGACGTCAGGGTTGGATATGGTCAGCAACAATGCTCCGGTAGGCTGTGGCATTTAAATGTTGCTCAATTAGTACACAGGGACCTCGGTTGAATTGAGGGGTTATTTTTTGAGTTACTGTTGCTTTTCTATCAGCTCAAACCAGTTTGGCCATTCTCCTCTGACCTCACTGGATATTTTCTCTTTTTCGGACCATGCTCGGTCAACCCCTTGAGATGGTTATGTGTGAAAATCCGAGTAGATTAGCAGTTGCTGAAATACTCAGACCAGGCCGTCTGGCACCAACAACCATGCCACGTTCAAGGTCACTTAAATCAACTTTTTTACCCATTCTGGTACTCGGTTTGAACTTCAGAGGATCGTCTTGACCATGTCTACATTGCTAAATGCATTTAATTGCTGCCATGTGATAGGCCACCCCCATAGTGTGTGTGAGCGCGCTTGCATATGTTGTATTTTCACCCACCCAGTGGCTGAGACAGCTGATTCCCTGAGTACCAGGCTTCACTGAGATCCCTCAGTTTGTCTTGGTTGTGGAGGGGAAACATGTCCTCAATAACACCTGCTGACCCAAGTTTCCTCCCTGCAACAATAAAATTAATGAATTAATGAATGATGATTTGCATTGCACCAAATGAAAAAAAAAACACACACAAAAAAAGACATCAACAAACATGTGGGCCAGCTCAGAATAGCATGATTTTCTTATTTCCATTTCTTTACTGAGTAGCTTGAGTATATGGGTGAGGGAAAATTAGTTTTCAAAGCAGAAAACGATTTATCCTGACTTTTAAAGCTACATACACAAAAACATTAACACCAGGCTACAAAGCCTACAATGACAAATAATTTGTTGATGAAATGTCAAAGAAAGCCAAAATAGCTAAAATTACACTTTAGACTTAATTGTCCCAATGGGGGAATTTCTTTTAATGGCACCGTTTCTGTCCAACAAACAATACCCACCAAAAAACAAGACATCCACAAAACACAGTGTATAAAACAAAGTTAAACAACAATCAAGTTACTGCTCCGCTCTGTTCAGCAAGGCCTTTTTTTCAGGGCAGCTATATCAGAAGGGATTAGGCAGAAACAGGAGATAGTGCACATATGGGAGCTGACTTAATGTGGGGACAATTGGTGACCACGGTTGGTGAACACCGCAGCATATTCTCCGGAGAATTCACCTCGAGCCAATAGGAAGAGAATGACGTTTCTATACAGTGACAGCTGCACGGTGCATAAAGTGTCTGCACGTTTATTGTTTATTGATTTTGGGCCATTCTCTGCTCTTAAGAAAAAAAAATGCTTTGTTAAGACTGAAGTCGACCTGGGCTGCTGGCTTTCTTGGGGGTGGGAAGAGCGGGGTTCACTTATCATGTAGTGTCTTGGTCCCCTTAGACCAGGGACATAACACTTGGATAATGTAAAAGAATATACAATTACATTACATATAACAAATTATAGGTATTCAACCTGATGAATGTTTTTAAAGTAATGATCATGTCACTCCTTACTAAAGTTAACACACAGTGGAAGCACTCACATATGTTATCTCTGTGTTGTAGTGTGTAGCTGTCAGGCAGGCCGGGTATTCTCAGGTCTCTCTGTGCCCAGAGCCCATCCAGCTCATATTTCACTATGTACTGTCGCTCTGCAAGGGTCAGGAAAATCTCCATGTCGTCTGTTACACACATTAATAGACAAAGACATATCCCAAGAAATTGTTTAAGTCACTGCATTTAAGAAAAACCTATCCAAACAGATTAAACGTAGCAATTTTTAATTGTTTTGACAACACATGCATAGCCTTAAGCATACAATGCAACCTGTTACTCCGAAGATCAGGCCAGTGCCTTGGCCATCTCATACTGAAAAAAATACTGTTGGTATCACTGTTGGTGCATGCTTCCTATTTTCCAGGCTATTCAAACAAATAATTTTCAACACAGATGTTGGGCTGTATTATGCTCTGATTTAAAAAAATCTATAAACCCCTAAAAGACATAGTGACAATTCCACAACTGCAGGGAACCTTTTTTGGAAAAGGAGGATGTAAAACTACCTCAAAATAAGCCAGCTAGAAACTCTTAGAAGAGCCCTACTGCACACAACAAGCAGGAAATATATTGTGCACCTGACACTGGCACTCACTTATTTCTTATTTTTTATGGCTCAGCAACTGTTGGATCAGAAATAGAAGAAAGAAAATACTTGCAGTTATGTCTATGAATTATTTCAACCCCAACAACATGCCTTAAAACTTAGAAATCTGAGAAACTTAGACATTAACTTTACTTGTCACCAATGAATTTTCACCTCAATTACATATATGATCCTACACTTCATTCTCCTTGTATATGTTAAAAAACTTTAGTACACATCCTCTTTGTTATGGTTTTAACATGGAAATACTGTTCATGAATATGTTAAAAACCCTATTGATGTACCTGAATTTTTGAAGTTGTGTCTGTTCTTGTAGGAGAAGGCTTCCATGTTATCATCCTGGTAAATCCTACAAAGTCCTAACTCCTCAGTGGCTTTAAGCAATGTACAGCATGGGGCAGAAACCATAATGATGTCGCCACTGGCATCCTCACCTGGGTGGGCTAGCAATGCAGCACCTGGGGTAATACAGTTACAGAGGGTGTATTTGCACTGTTTTATGGTCAAGTCAACTTTATTTATATAACACATTTCATATGACAAGCATCGACACAATGTGCTTAAAAATAGATATAGTAGACAACAAACATGATAACAACATGACAAAAACATAAGACAGAAAGAAAAAGAAAAAAACACTAAAAATGCATTAAATGAAACCACAACACAATAAATAAATATTTAAATAGAAATAAAATGTCCTAGATAGTGCAAGATATATTCCAAACATTAATGATTTATCCAAAAGCTTGTACAAATAGATAAGTCTGCTTTTAAAAGAAGACACATTTGTATCAGCTATTTGTTCATGTGGTAAAGAATTCCAGAGAGTTGGACCATAAATGCTAAAAGCACCATGAGCTGATCTGGAATTAATTTTGGGTAAGTTTAAAGGACGTTTATTTGACGATCTGCAGGACCTGTCTGGAGTGTACTCAGTCAGCATGTCAACTACATAGGAGGTAGTGGTAACACTTTACAATAAGGTACACAAATTTTGCATAGTTCCTAGGAAACAAATGGGAAACTAATCACAAGGTAACCACTTAGTAACCACTAGGTAACCCGAGGCTTTGCCTAGTTCTACCCAAAATGACCCAGGGCTATCAAAGAAATCGTCTGATGTGCCAAAATGTAAACAAATAAAAATAAAAGTCAGTGTATATGGCGCAATTTGATCTATTTCTTCGTCTGAAAAGTGGGCTGCTTCATTTGTACCTGCATCAATTGCAACCCGACACAATTGAAAATTCATTTAATTTCATCATTCATTATGTAGCTGTGCTGGGATACATAACGATGCTGACCAGGCTTGCAGCGTCACTTTTTAACGTCTTTTCTCTTTCATGAGATAATAACGGTGCATATAAAGAAAATGGTGATATACTGTTCAGTAAATAAAGCTTGCAGTGGACTGATGGAAAAGACCTGGTTAAAGTTAAGAGAGACCAGCTCAACTACCGTACTGTAGCTAGTATGAGTGCAAACTCCACAAAGAGAAAACAAATGGTTATAAAAAGAGCGACACAGCTGCACAGAAACTGCACGAGGTAAACTTTCGCTGAACACTGCATAGCGACCACTACCATCAGTGTGTGAATGGGTAGGTATGACATGCAGTGTAAAAGCGATTTGAGTTGTCGGAAGACTAAAAAAGCGCTATATAAGCTCAAGTCCATTTACCATTTACCATCCATGGGGACGGCTGTTCGGAATTCCCGTCAGCAGCACTGTATAAGTGCGATCATTTAGTCAGGCAGTGATAAGGAGCTTCTGGGGTCCTTAACGTGTGATCTGCTCTTATTCTTTTTTCTGGACTGTTGATGACTGAGCAGGATTTCACGGGAGGAGAGAGGACCATGGAGGAGTTTGAACGAAGCAGCAGGAAGAAAGGAAAAAGATTAAAAGAAGCGAAATGTCAAGTTATAGGGAAGTAAATGAAAATGAGACAGAAACCTTTTTGATTTTCAATAAAACTGACTGATAAAGACAACGACTATGGAGTTTTTGTCAGACAAACATGAAGTAGTGAGTTGGGTTAGGAGTAAACTTTATGCTGTCAAGTTAGTTGATGTGAAAAGGAGTAGATTAATTGTTGTCGAGTGTGTCACAGACGCAAGTAAACAGGGCTTTGTCATTGAAGCAATTAGATGACCACAACGTGTCATGTTTTCGGCTATGTAGAAGAGCTCCTATTAAGGGAGTAATGGACAGAGTGTCACACATGGTTGATGCAGGAATGTTTAAAGAGTGTAAACGAGTGGTAGACAGTCACATAATGTTCAGGATGATTGATGTAGAGAGATGTCCGACAAAATAAGTCATGTTGCACTTTGAAACTGAATGCTTGCCAGATAGTGTTCTTAGATTACGTCAGTTATCCAGTCAGTATACATCATTTAGGATTTGTAGTAAATGTGGTGATGAAATGTGTCGTGGCAAAAATGAATGAAACAAAATGTAGTCTGTGTGGGGGAGGGCATAAGGCCTGGGGAGCAGACTGCCCAAAGAGAAGGAGAGAGATGGAAAGTATAAAGTTGAAATCAAAGAGAAAGCCAAAACACAAGTGAAAAAGAAAGAAAATGACTTCAACCCCAGGAAACAGGAGTCTGATAGAGACCATCAAGAGTACTGTTTCTGTAACGACAGGATAATGTTTTTTGCCTTCTTGGCAATGGTGATTAACTCTGCTGCTGAAGCTGAGAGAAAGTCAGAGAGAATTGCAATTTTTGTCAATGCAGCAAAAACATTTCTTGGATAATGAGGGAGTTACTGGAGAAGAGATGCAGGGGCTGCTGAGAGAGGCCTTCAGGCCCTCAGAGTCTAGAGTAGGCTAGTTTAGACGTACAAGACGGTGGAATGAGGGATGGGGAATGAACATTATTCGTTTTTTATTTTTTCCTTATTCACAAGTTTATGGTATTCAAAAGATTGTAGATTTATTTTGAGCCAGTAGTAGGCGGTAATGCAACACTATGGATACCAACTGCCTTTAAAATCAGACGAAGAAGAAGTAGATGACTGAGCAGCATATGAGTACATGAGCACATGTAAGTTTTTTAAATACGTTAATTGCCTTTTTTTGGCTGATTCGACATGTTGAATCGGCGTCTGCGGTCAGTAAGAGGGATCTCTCTGACTGGCTGTTCAGAGGTTTCATTTATCTCCAGCTCTCGACACAGGTTCGGGAAAGCCCCTTGAGCATGCTGCTGTAATATCCATGCTTTCACCCATTAGTGCGGTTTCTCCTTATTTGTCGCCTCTGCCTCTTCTTTTCTTTTTCCACTAAGATCACACATTATTCTCGATGAGTAGGCTACCTATAATATAAGTGGTGTGCGACAGCGGTGTGTAAATGGTCTTCTCGTATCATAACAACGAGCTATCACCGCCCCTCACGCATGCGCAGAATGTACGTGGTTGTTGGCTGCCGGCTGTAGTCTTTGCGGTGTGTTCTAGTGCAATTTTTTGGCCAAGACGTGAGGCGTCGCCACTAGTTATTTGCCGTCTGCTTGGTGTGTCAGGTCCTTTATAGAACCATATTTACATACTTTGCATTTGCAATCAATTTGAAATGACTAAACTGAGGCAAGAAAGCAACTCTCCTGTCAAAAATTGTCTCTCAGTGTGAAAGAGAGAGTGAATTTATCATAACGGTTTGTTATGTATCTCAGCAATGAAGTTATGAATGTCGACTAGTGACCTCTGCAGATCTCAGATAGTTTATACTTTTTAATTATTACTCACCCCCATCTTTCTGAGGAGCTCCTATCAGTCTGATGAGCCACCTTTTTGTCTCAGGGCGAACATTCTCTCCAAGCTTCACCAAAACCAGTGGCTCCACCTTCTTGGATGTACAGCAGGGGCAACTTGCTTTAGTCCAGCCTGGTCCAACAGAACTAGCACTCAATTTGCTAGGAACATTCAATGTTTGGGTCTTATCCTCTTGCTGTTTTGCTGTTTCGCTTCTGCTGCCGCTGCTACCTTCATCACCACTTGTCCTACGCATGGTTAAACTGAAAGAAATTACAAAAGTTTTAGTTTGCCATATGTTTGCCACATGTTGCCAGTCTACTTCTGCTGGATTAGTACTGGACACTCAAAAGTAGATTTGACACCGTTGACCAAAAAACACTGCTTTCTGTTTCTGTAAGACTTTATTTATCCACTAATTAGCGTGTTCAGAGAAGTGAGTGAGCTTAGCTAGTAAACTCTGTGATCAGCAGTGTCAAATGCCCTTTTCAGATCTACTTTTAGAGATGACAGTTCTTAATGTGTGTTTTATTTCCTGATTTGAATATTGGACTAACTGTAAAGGGCGTTGGAGGCCTTTGAAATATTTGTTTGATGTTTGAATGTTCGGGCAAATGTTTGTATCTGTGTTTCTTGTCTATAAATGGAGCTGATGTGATGCAAGACAAATTTCAGACTTTGTCTAACAATAAACTCCTAAATTATCTGTATTCAGAAGACAGGTTTTGCTGTTCCTATCATATTTTGCAAGGATATGAATACAGCTGTTTGAGATTTTTGATTTGTCTGCCTTGGACAGAGAACTTTTGAAAACGTCTGATGAAGTTTATTAAAATATTTAAATGTTTTGCAAAATAAAGACAATCGTTTTGATAATTGCTGTGAAGTAATGTGTCTTCAGCCACCAAAAACTGCTTGTAAGTTCTTATAAATGTGTTATATGATCATATAATGTGCACAAAGTTTTTATAGAATGTTATAAGTATTAATTGGACATTCTTATTTGCGAACCATATAAATTATAACCTCTTATAATCTTTATCTTGAACCAAATCTATATGAACCTTTAGAACTGAATAAAGTTGTGGGAGTTATAATTTGTTATGAGACCCGAAATTCACAAGATGCTGTTGTTAGTTTTGCACTAAGGTACTTAATTTAACTTAAGTACCTTGGTAGCTTAATGAATTCTTAAAATCCCCAATCAGGAAGGTTATAATGCATTTGTAAGGTTTAATAAATCTGCTTATGATGCATTATGAGTGGTGGGTTCAGTCGCTCCCCAAAAGGACTCTGATATCCTCACATCCTACCACAATGTAATGGGATAGGTCTGTATAACAATAATCAATCAGTAAACTAGGACTTTAATGGAAAATCTAATGCTGACTGTCTGTCCCTTCAAAGGCTTCCTCCTGAGGAAGTGCTATTAACCATTGCAATATACTGAAACAGCATTTTAGATTATACAATCTTCATATTTGAGAGTAGTCAGTTATTGACAGCTAAGAATTACATTTTTCATTACTACATTTGCATTACCATTGGACATTTAATTTAAAAATGTTAAGATTGTGATGCAAGACTTTATTTCAGACACAATCTTCCATGATTTTACATACAAAACTCTAAATACTGAACTACTGTAACTTATACTCCAGCAGCAGACAACAGAACTTTCTCTGTTTTTATCAGCAACACCCAGAGGATAACATCTAGTGGCAAGACATCTCGATCCACTTGGTTCTCTTTATTCATTCCATTTGATGATCCTATCATTTATAAGCTTAAAGCTTTGCTAAACATGCCCCCCGTCCCGTCCCCACCCCCCCGGCCTGTCCCCACCCCCGTCCCCACCCCTAACACACACAAAATCTATTCAGTTTTCCTGCAAAGACACCACGACACATTGTGTGTACACTTACCCAGCTTCAGTTAGTTGTTCCTTTCAGATATCTAATGGTGTGTGTGTGTGTGTGTGTGTGAGTATGTGTGAATAAGGAAGGAATGCAGAAGAACTTCCTATACTGCAGGGTGTGGAGAGATGTTTGGTTTACTGGCAGACTCCTCCCTACTGCCTGCTCTCTGCTCTACTTCCGCTTCAGCCCAGGGTCCTATTGCTCCACCTAGCTGCTTTGTTTCTTATGCTGTACCACTGTTCTGTAGAAATCTCACAAGAGGCTTTACATAACACAAAAACAGGTGAATCCATTCTAATGCATTAATTTATTTATAAATATATCATATTTCAGAAAGTCATATTAAAGAAGGGAAAACTACTCTTGAAATTAACATTTCACAACAGACATACGCCATTTGGTTCAAAACCTTTTTCAAGGTAGGTAAAATGCTGAGGCAGGTAAAACGAATAATCATCTGGACTATTTAATTCAAACAACCTTTTTTCCATGGAGAACCAATTTTAGTTCATGTAAATGCTATTAAGATTTAATTAGGATTGTTCTGTAAATTTAGTGGGTAATATTTCAGGAAGAAACATTTTAACTAAAGAACGAGACCTTACCTCATTGCCTTAAGACTGTTATTTGAAAAAAAGATAAGTAATTATTGAGCTAAATGATTACATGGATTGATTAATTAATTTAAAGCAAAAATATGTCACTTTATTAACACTTTGTGTCTTTGGCAGGAGGCCATGGTCATTTTGCCAGAAGTGTGTATGTCTTTATGGCACTAGTTGAAATGGCAGGGTTCAGCCATCTCTGTACGGTTGACCATAGTCTTGTCTCTTTTAACACTCCAGCTCTTCAGTACCATAAGAGTTGTTTCATATTTTCAAAACTGTTTAAGTAACAGGGAAAATATGATTTAGTGCTAGACAACTGTCCATCCTGGTTTTGAGCAGAAAGTTGGTGGTTGTAGTGGTATTATATGGATTATAATCAATAGCTGCAAACAAGGTCTGTATTCTATATTCAGATGGGCTGCAACCAAACCGCTTTCCTGCACACATAAGGATGTGATTTTGGAAGTCCTCTAAATCGGAAATTGTCCTGTTAGGTGGAAAAGCCAAAAAAGACAAGAATTGCTTAGTTAGTGACATACTACTGACTTCCACTTTAAACTGCACCAAATAACATAAGATGAGTAGAGTCCTCAACTTGAAAATCATCTTGAGCGATATAAAAACTCTTAATTTACATGCCAAGGTAGTAATTTCAGATACATTTTGTAATGATCCTAAATGACAATAAGGCCGTGTTCACACTTGACTTTTTTTTTCAACTGCCAGCACCTTTTTTACATACAAGCCTATGGAAAAATGAAAAAGGATGACGCCTTTTTAAAAAGCGCTGCGTCCGATGCCTTTTTCAGTTGAATTATTTTTATTTCAACTTTTCAGAAAAGCGCTGGGTGACGTCAAGCGCCTTTCTGACAGCTGACCAATCAGGACGAGTAGTAACCTACGTCCTTAGTTACCTGTGCCCAACAACGGCAAACTTCCACCAGATATGTGTGCGTTGCGTGTCCGCTCCGGTCTGTTACGGGTCCGTGCATCCACATCCATCAACACCCACCGGCTGCCTTCTCAGTCTGCAGCACGGAGAGCACAGACGGACAGCTGGAGTACGGAGACACAGGAATTTCCGCGGTAATTTTATAGATTCACTCGCGACAGCACGAGATAATACGATGTTTGTGGTATAAAACTCAATAAAAACCTTACAAACACATAAACAAACACACAAACGGTCGTTTTTCTGAACCGTCAAAACGGAGGGTGTTATTCTGAAAATAAACCGGATGTTTTAATGTTCTATCGGTGTCTGACTTCCCGTCCCGCTTGTTCTTTTTTGTGCTAAACTGATGCGTTGTGTTCCGGCCGCGGTTGCACCGCAGACTAGATCCTGTTGTTATGGTTACAGAACACTCGCGCATAAGCGCTCAAAAGGCGCTGAAAGCTTTTTTCTGAAAAAATAAGTCCAGTGTGAACACGGCCTCATGCTGCAGTTTATGCTCCGACACAGATGCGTCTCCCCCTCCCCTTCTGCTCCGCAGCGGTGAAAACGAAACTTAAGTCCGCAAAAACAACTCCATCTTAGTTATATGTAACTGTTGTGATATTTTTCCAAACCGACACGCTGTGAGCAACAGTTAACTCATCTGCATAGTTTGCACAGTTAAGATTAGTCTACATCTCAAATAGCGACACAGAGAGACGTGAACACTCTGCTGAGAGACAGACAGGACGCAGCTCAGACAGTCAGTGATGAGAGATATAACCCCGATGTTTAAAATGTTGCTGTCGGTGTTTTCTGCTTTTCTCAGTTTTTAAAAGTTACTATCAAGCCTCTCCACCTGAAGCTCACCTGTTGTGATAACAGAACCTACAGGGATTAGGCTAAACGACGTTACAAAGCAGCAAGCTGGTGAGAGTGAGTAACCATGGTGACTGTCTGTCTGTCAATCAACGATGTCCCGCCCCCTCTGTGAATTAAACTCTTCTGTCAGTAAAACTTACTTTGATCATGTGTCACAGAATGAACACATTCTGTATTATGTTTGATTATATATAAACTAAACTAAATGATGTCATAAAAAACAACAAAGCCTATAAACACAGGCTGCAGAGCCTGTATGAAGCTACAGCTGTAGGAATTCTGCAGAGCTAAATAGAACAGAAACACTTGAAGTCTACATGTTTTTAAATGAATGCATCACTGCGTGAAAATTTTCCTGATGAACATAAAAAGAGGACACATAACTAAATCATCATTTCAAAGTGGTGAGGAAAACCTTCAAATTGTGCATAAATATTGATTAAATTGTGGGAAAGAAATTTCTGTTGCTAAAGATGTTCTGGGTGAGAGACCTCCAGACTGCCTACAAAGATGTTTTTCAAATAGATTAAACTTGTCTGCACAGTCTTTGTGCATTTAAAAACATTATACACGGAAATAAGTTTGGTTGAACTGGTCAGTGACTTACTAATTTGTCTAAAGAACAATATGAAAAAAATCATGATAAAATCATGATATTTTTCCCATATCGCCCACCTCTACTTCTAGGGCTTTTCGTGGCTGCCATCATCCATCGGTTCAAGATCACAGCTTGTTGATTGAGAACATGATGTATAAGAGCTTCTGGATTATGGCAAAAACTAGAGGTCCGCAAGCTAGATGTCATTCTGGACTCCACCCTTTCTTTTAAATCCCACATCAAGTCCATCACCAAATCTGCCTTTTTCCACCTCAAAAATATCTCAAGACTCCGATCCTCACTCCCCAACCATGTGGCAGAGATCGTCATTCACGCCTTCATCACCCCCGGCCTCGGTCACCACTGTGAGCACAAGCAGCTACCATCACACCCATGGCTGTCACAGTCTCTTTTGCAGCTTTTTCTACCACCAAGCTGCATCTAAAATGTTGTCCTTGAGCACCATTTGTAGGCGATCATCTTTCAATTGGTAAAAACTTGTTCAGAGGCTCTGTTTTTAAAGTAGCCTATAAAAAAAGCACAATTTTGTTACAAACAGTCAAAGAGTGGAGCAGTTAAGAACCAAATGCAAGTATTTCAGGAAAATTATGTGGAGGAAGTTTCTTACCAATTTTCAAAAGACATCAGAATTTTGAAATACACGTGTATTTTTGATACCGCAGCTAAATTGAATACAGCTTGAAGCATTGCAAACAATCAGTATAATCCAAGGAACACGCTGTGAGAAAATTACTTTCCTGAGGCTAATCATTCAATGACTAACAACACATGGTTATGGAAGCAAATAAAGCCTGGCTCACACTGTGCGATTTTTCCCCGATTGTATAAAAGTCGGGGTGGCATGTCAGCTCACACTGTACGACTGAATCGTTTATGACGCCCGACCAGACCTTGCGATTTATGTGCTCACACTGTATGACCCGATTGTCGGGCATGGCCGGAGAGCTCACACTGTATGAGTGAAATTGGGACGGAGCATTGACAGGTGTTAATAAAGTTTCATCTGAAAACTCCACTGGACTTCAACGGACAGTGGTTGGTCAAAGAGAAGGAAGTGGAACTTGTTGTCGATAGGAAAGTTGATACAATCATAGATGGATACAATGTCTCAGAAAAGTGCTGCAATGATGATCTGTGCCGTCCTGTGTACAGAAACCTCAAAAAAAAGAAACGCCGGCGTATGGACTCGCAGGTGGCTGAGGAGATGAGGACTGTAAGATTTGTCCGTTTTGCAGAGAGAGTTAGAGGTAAGCCACATCGTTGTAGTACTTTAACGGTTTGTTTACTATTGGAATAAATGTAAGGCTGAACCTATCTTTCTTCTTTTGTAAATAGCCACACACACTTTTCAGTCTTTATTAACTTGCTAACCTAATTTGTGGGAATGCTGTAATACAGCATGTAATACCGATGATTCAAATGTTATTCCTGTTATTCCTGCGGCTCCGGCTTTCCAAGTCCGCAGCCTTCGCTGCTAGTATAGCGTTGCTATCTGTCAAGGCTACACACCTCTCCTCCAGTGCTTGAATACGCTGGATATTCAGTTCAGCATTATTTTCCAAAGCATCAAGACGTTGTCCGTGTTTTGTTACCGTGGTTTGTATTTTGTCCAATCTAGATTCCACAGCCGCGAAAGTTTTCTTTATATCAGTCGAGATGCTAGCTCTGTGGTCCTCTAGCAGGCTAGCTATGCTAGTCAGACACGAGTTACTGCATGAGGCAGAGGCAGAGGTTTCGGCTTTCCTTTGCGGTTTAGAAGATTTCGACATATTGTCTTAGCGTTTAGAGAATATTGATGTTTATTTCTCAGTTTCGCTTGAAGGTGGTGGCAAAAAAGTAGGGTTTTTAAGAGTAAAGGGAAGTTAGAGTTACGGGAGACGGAGACTATGCTGTGCTCACATGCTCACCAAACCGGAAGTCCGCCAGCGTCTTTTTTCAGTTGTTTCAATTGGTAGAGGGCATTTGCAGCCGAAAGCGGCCGCCTGGATGTAAACAGCGCCCAGCGTCTTTTTCAGAAGCACTCTGACATTTTTGTGCGGCCGCTCCAAGCGCTCAAGTTGAAAATATTTAAACTTTTCATAAAGGCGCTGTTGTAGTCACTGGCACTTTTT